GCGCGTTTCGGTCACGCCGTTCACCCTGCTCGGCCTGGTGCTGTCGATCTTCCTCAGCTTCCGCAACAGCGCCTGCTATGACCGCTGGTGGGAAGGCCGCAAGCTGTGGGGCCAGCTGGTCTTTGAATCGCGTTCGCTGGCCCGCCAGGTCAATCTGCTGCTGGCCGATGACCATGGCCGTCGCCGCCGCATCGCCTATGTCACCACGGCCTTCGCCCATGCCCTGGCCGGGCGCCTGCGCGGGCGCATCGTGGCCCTGATGGCCCTGCCGTGGCTGGACAAGCGCCAGCGTGAACAGCTCGGCCAGCGTGAGAACGTGCCAGTACTCTGCGTTGATACCACTGCTTCCGAACTGGCCCAGGCCCTGCGCGCCGGTGACCTCGACCCGATCCTCTACGCCCAGCTGGAGGAGCGCCTGCACGCGATGTCGTCGATCCAGGCCGGCTGCGAGCGCATCCTCACCACACCACTGCCGTTCGCCTACACCCTGCTGCTGCACCGCTGCGCGTGGATGTTCTGCGTGCTGCTGCCGTTCGGCCTGGCCAGTTCGCTGGGCTGGGGTACGCCAGTATTGTCGGCGGTGCTGGCTTACGCCTTCTTCGGCCTGGACCAGCTGGGCGAGGAAATGGAAGACCCGTTCGGCCTGGAGCCGAACGACCTGCCGCTGGACGCGCTGGTGCGCACGATCGAGATCGACCAGCTCGACGCGCTCGGCGAACGCCCCTTGCCCGAACCCCTGCTGCCGCAGGGCTACCTGTTGCAATAGCCACTCCTCGGAGCCTGCCATGTCCCACCCGCTTTACCGCCCGCGCCGCATGCGTCATGACGAGTTCTCGCGCCGCCTGATGCGCGAGAACACGCTGACCACCGACGACCTGATCTACCCGGTGTTCGTGCACGAGCTTGCCGGCCGCACTGCGGTGCCGTCGATGCCGGGCGTGGAGCGGCTGTCGATCGAAGAACTGCTGAAGGTGGCCGAGGAAGCGCTGGAACTGGGCATTCCGGTGATCGACCTGTTCCCGGTGATCGACCCGTCGCTGAAGTCGCTGGACGCGTCGGCGGCGTGGGCCGAGGACGGCCTGGCGCAGCGGGCGATCCGCGCGCTGAAGTCGCGTTTCCCGGAACTGGGGGTGATGACCGACGTGGCGCTGGACCCGTACACCACGCATGGCCAGGACGGCATCATCGATGACAAGGGCTATGTGCTGAACGACATCACCGTCGACGCACTGGTCAAGCAGTCGGTGTCGCATGCCGAGGCCGGTGCGGACATCGTCTCGCCGTCGGACATGATGGACGGCCGCATCGGTGCGATACGCCGCGGGCTGGATGTCTCCAACCACATCAACGTGCGCATCATGGCCTACTCGGCCAAGTACGCTTCGGCGTTCTATGGCCCGTTCCGTGATGCGGTGGGCAGCGCGGCCAGCCTCGGCAAGGCCGACAAGAAGACCTACCAGATGGACCCGGCCAACGGCGACGAAGCCCTGCGCGAAATCGCGCTGGACCTGGAAGAGGGCGCCGACATGGTGATGGTCAAGCCGGGCATGCCCTACCTGGATCTGGTACGCCGGGTCAAAGAGACGTTCGGCGTGCCGACCTTCGCTTACCAGGTCAGCGGCGAGTACGCGATGATGAAGGCCGCCTTCGCCAACGGCTGGCTGGACGAGCGCGCCTGCGTGATGGAGTCGCTGCTGGGCTTCAAGCGGGCCGGTGCCGATGGCGTGCTGACCTATTTCGCGCCGCAGGTGGCGCGATGGCTGCGCGAGCGCTGACAATGGCGCGACGATAGACGGAGGAAAGCGCGATGGGACCCGAACTGGGATGGATGCAATGGCTGATCTGGGGCATCGGTACGCTGGTGTTCGGCGCCATCATTGTCGGTGTCTTCATCGCGGCCTGGCGGGCCGGCAAGCGCCCGCCGGAGCAGCTGTCGGCGGCCCGCCACGTGGCCCGTGAGCAGGCCCTTCCGGACAGCGTGCAGGCCGAACTGGCCGCGCTGAACCAGCGCAAGGACAATGGCCAGCTGAGCGAGGTCGAGTACGAGCAGCAGCGTGCCAGGGTGTTGTCGCGCTGACGGCGATGCTCTGGTAGTGGCCAACCTTGGTTGGCGGTTTTGCTTCTGTGCCGACCAAGGTCGGCACCTACCAATCGATCATCCACGCTGGGTGCCAACCTTGGTTGGCACCTTCCTGCATGCCAACCAAGGTTGGCATCTACCAGACGGCCATCCACGCATGGCGTGGATCTACTGCACGCACCCGGGCACCGCCGCCACCTTCGGCACCGCCAACCGGTACACATCCACGCCGCCGGCACGCGGCGCCTTGGCCGCACTGCTGGCGACCAGCATCTCGCCGGGCTTGGCGTTGTCGATCACCGGCGCACCGGTCCAGCCGCCGGGCTGGTTGAACGACAGCCCCAGCGGCTGCAGCGCCACGCCGCTCCACGCGCAGCCGCTGCTCCAGACCTGCGCGGTCGCGCCGCTGCCGCGGCTGAACACCACCGCGCCATCATTGCCGAGCCAGTCAGCGTCGGTCTCGTCCTCGGCGCTGTTCAACGCGCCCAGTGCGGTGGCCCGGCCACGCACGCCCTGCGCGTCCAGCGGCGCCACGAACAGATCCCAGCCTGCGCCACGTCCCTGCTGGCGGGCAAACAGCAGGCGCTGGCCATCCGCGCTCAGGGCCGGCCCGCGCTCTTCCCGGCGCCCGCCATCGCCGGCCAGGGCCTGCGCAGCGCCCAGCCGGCCATCGGCGGACAATGCCGCGCGATACAGCGCCAGCGTGCCTTGGCGGCCGGCCGCGAACAGCAGCCAGCGCCCATCGCGGCTGAGGTAGGGATCGCGGGCCTCACCGGCCACGTCCACCGGCAGGGGCTGCGCCTGCTGCCAGCGGCCATCGGCCACGCGCGCTTCCCACAGGCCCCAGCCGGACTCGCTGCGGCGGGCGAAAACGATGCGCTGGCCATCGGCACTGATCGTGGCGCGGCCCTCGTCGGCGCGGGTCGAGACCACGCCCATGCCTTCGATGCCGTACTCGTTCAACGCCATCGCCACGGGGGCAGAGAGTAGACTGGCGGCGAGCACCAGCAGGGGCGGGGTGATGCGCATCATCCGGGTCCGTGCACGAAAGAGCATCAGTCTAGCCAGCTTGAGGATTCCATGACCGACCGTTACGCCGTCTTCGGACACCCCGTTGCCCACTCGAAGTCGCCGCAGATCCATGCGACGTTCGGTCGCCAGGAAGGCATCGCGGTGGATTACCGCGCAATCGACCTGGCCCCGGATGCATTCCTGGCCGGTCTGGAGGCGTTCGCCGCCGAGGGCGGTGTCGGCGCCAACGTCACCCTGCCGCACAAGGAAACCGCGTTCTCGGTGTGCACCACGCTGACCGCACGGGCGCGCCGCGCCGGCTCGGTCAACACCCTGCTGCGCAAGGGCGACCGCTGGCACGGTGACACCACCGATGGCATCGGCCTGGTGCGCGACCTGACCGACCGCCACGGCCTGGACCTGCGTGGCCGCCGCATGCTGCTGATCGGTGCCGGTGGCTCCGCACGCAGCGTCGCCCCGGCGCTGCTCGATGCCGGCATCACCGAGCTGGTGGTGGTCAACCGCACGCCGGAACGCGCCGATGAACTGATCGATGCGATGGGCGAACCGGGCCGCGCGATCAGCCGCTACTGGGAAGACCTGCGCGACCTCGGCGACTTCGAGCTGATCGTCAACGCCACCTCGGCCGGTCGCGACCGCAATGTCGAGTTCAAGCTGCCGCTGTCGCTGGTCAATTCGATGACCACCGCCGTTGACCTGAACTACGGCGAGGCCGCCATCGCCTTCCTGGCCTGGGCGCGCGCGGCGAACTGCCGCAATACCGTCGATGGCCTCGGCATGCTGGTCGAACAGGCCGCCGAGAGCTTCCTGCAGTGGCACGGCGTGCGCCCGCAGACCGACGAGGTCTACCAGTCGCTGCGCCAGGGTGCGGCCGTGCTGACCGGCGAGGACTGAGCCATGGACAGCACCGCCTTGCTGGTGACCGTACTGAGCATGGTCGGCGTACGCCTGCCGGTGCTGATCGCACTGTGCGTGGGCCTGGTCTGGGTGGTCGGCGCGCCGCGCGATGCCACCCGTACCGGCGCGCTGGTCGGCCTGCTGCTGTTGCTGCTGTCCTGCCTGGGCGGCCTGGCCGCCGGCATCCTGCCGATGTGGCTGGTCAGCAGTGGCAACTTTGGTGCCGTGTCGGGCATGGGCGCCGTGCTCGGCGTGCTGCACTTCGCGCTGGCGTTGGTCGAGGCCATCGGCGTGGTGCTGCTGGTATGGGCGCTGGTGCGCCTGCTGCGGCTGCGCGGCAACCCGGTGCAGTGACACCCCGGTGACGGCCCTGGGCCGTCGCCTGTAGCGCCCGGCGTGTTCATCCCGCTGCTCGGCGTCGTCGCTGCCCCGTTCAGGGTGCCAGCGGCGGCGGACGTGGCCGGCCATGCGACAATGACCGGCCTGATCCAGCCACGGTACTTCCCGGCGTGACCGAAACCGTCGGCCGCTCCGCGCACGCTCGATGACCCCTTGAAGGACGCGATCCGCAAGGCGTACACGACGCTGCAGGCCAATACCCCCGGCTTCTCCACCCGCCGCTCGCAGAGCCAGATGATCGGCGTGGTGTCGCGTGCGCTGTCGAAAAGCGGTGGCGTCGGCGTGGTCGAGGCGCCGACCGGCGTCGGCAAGAGCCTGGGCTACCTCACCGCGGGCGTGCCGATCGCGCTGGCCAGCAAGAAGAAGCTGGTGATCAGCACCGGCACGGTGGCGCTGCAGTCGCAGCTGGTCGAGCGTGATATCCCGAATTTCCTCAAGGCCACCGGCCTGGAAGCGACGGTGGCGCTGGCCAAGGGCCCGTACCCGCTACCTGTGCACGCGCAATGCTGCCGAGGCGCAGGGCGAGGGCTCGCAGGGCGGCATGTTCGAGGATGACGCGCCGCTGTTCGACCGGCCGCTGGCGCCGATCGAGATGGACATCGCCAAGCGCCTGACCGATGCCTTCACCGGCGGCAGCTGGGATGGCGACATCGACAACGCGCCGGAAACCATCAGCCCCGGCCTGCGCAGCCGCATCACCACGCCGGCTTCGGGTTGCGCCGGGCGCCGCTGCGCCTATTCGGCGCAATGCGCGGTGCTGCGTTCGCGCAATACCGTGCGCGACGCACAGATCGTGGTCACCAACCATGCGCTGCTGCTGTCGGCGTTGTCGATCGGCGACAGCGACAACGGCCAACCGTTGATCGCGGCGCCGTCGGACATGCTGCTGGTGCTGGACGAAGGCCATCACATCGGCAACGTGGCGATCGACCAGGGCGCGGCCAGCCTGGCGCTGGACGAGATGGCCAAGCGCACCGGCCGCCTGCAGATCCTGATTGCCGGCGCCTACCGCGCGGTCGACAAGGACCGCCTCGGCAACCTGCTGCCCAACGAAGCGATCGAGATGGCCAGCAACGTGGCCAAGCAGCTGCGTGCCTTCCGTGACCACATCGAACGGGTGTGGATGCCAGTACTCTGCGTTGATACCACTGCTTCGCGCCGCCAACGGTCGCCTGCCCGAGGCCTGGCGCGAGCCGATCGAAGCGCTGGCCGACGATACCCGCAGCCTCTACAACTGGGCGCATGCGGCCACCGCGCAGGTGGCCAAGGGCAAGCCGGACGATGCCGCGCGCGAGCGCCTGCAGCGCAACCTGGGCATGGCGCTGGAGATGATCGAGCAGCAGTACAACCTCTGGCAGGCGTGGCGCCGCGAGGACAAGGACGGCGCGCCGCCGATGGCGCGCTGGGTCACCGCCACCCGCGACGGCGACCTGGTGCTGCACGGCTCGCCGGTGTCGGCTGCGCACGTGCTGCGCAAGCTGCTGTGGGACGAAGTGGATTCGGTGGTGATGACTTCGGCGACGCTGACCGGCGGCGGCGATTTCCAGTCGCTGGCGATCGACAACGGCATTCCTGAAGAGGCCGAGATGGTCTCGCTGTCCTCGCCGTTCGACCTGCCCAACCAGGCCGAGCTGATCGTGCCGAAGTTCCCGGTCACGCCGGACGACCGCGAGGGCCATCCGCGCGAAGTGGCGCGTTACCTCGACACCGAGCTGGACTGGGCCAAGGGCTCGATGGTGCTGTTCACCTCGCGCTGGAAGATGGAGAAGGTGGCCGGCCTGATGCCGGCCGCGCGCCGCAAGCAGGTGCTGGTGCAGGGCGAGATGTCCAAGACCCGCTTGATCGACGAACACCTGCGCCGCGTCGCGGCGGGCGAGGGCTCGGTGCTGTTCGGCCTGAACTCGTTCGGCGAGGGCCTCGACCTGCCCGGCGAAGCCTGTACCACGGTGGTGATCACCCAGGTGCCGTTCGCGGTGCCGACCGACCCGCAGACCGCCACGCTCAGCGAGTGGTTCGAAGGGCGTGGGCTCAACGCCTTCAACCTGATCGCGATTCCGCACGCGCTGCGCACGCTGACCCAGTTCGCCGGCCGCCTGATCCGCACCTCCACCGACACCGGCCGCGTGGTCATTCTCGATTCGCGGCTGCTGACCCGCCGCTACGGCAAGCGCATCATCGACGCGCTGCCGCCGTTCAAGCGCGTGATCGGCTGACCGGTAGTGCCGGCCGCTGGCCGGCAAAACGGGGACGGAGGGGATTAAGACGCAAATGGCACAAACGACCTGATCCGTTCCGTCCCCGATGGCTAGCGCCGCAGTGGCAGCCATTGTCCTTCGCTGGCGCTGCGCCACAGCCATTCCACCGGCCCGAAGCGATGGTCGCGCAGCCACCACGCACTCGCCCACAGCTGCAGCGGGAACACCACCGCTGCCACCAGCAGCACCGGCCACAGCCCGTGCTGCGGGCCGATACCCCACCCGAAGCCGGCAAACAGCGGCACGCAGATTGCGCTTTGCAGCAGGTAGTTGCTCAGTGCCATGCGCCCGGCCGGGACGAACACGCGCAGCACGCGTTCGGCCCATGGGCGCAGATAGAGCAGGGCGAAGATGGCGGCCGCCGCGATGCCCAAGGCCAGTGGCGCAACGCGGTACGACACGCGCAGCAGGTAGCCGGGAACGCCCGCACGCAGCGCCGGCCATGCCTGCTTGAGCGCATCGGCGTGGGCATCGATCCACAGGAACGCGGCCGTCAACAGCAGCCCACCAAGGGCAATCGAGCGCAGCAGCGGCCGGTGTGCCTGCGGCTGCTGAAGCAGGCCGCGACGACCGGCCCAGTAGCCCAGCAGGAAGCGGCCGAGCACGAAGAACAGCAGTGCCCAGTTGCTCAGCTTCAGCCATGCCGCCAGCTGCAGGTTGTGCCACCACGCCTGGGCCAGGTTGCCGTGCGCCAGTGCCTCGAGCGCTGTGGCGTTCATCTGCGCGCGCGGTGTGAGCAGGGCCACCCATTCGCGGATCCACGGCGACAGCAGCGGCGGCAGCAGCAGGGCGATGAACAGGCCACTGCACAGCAGGGCACGATCGCCCAGGTGCCGGAACAACGGCAGCAGCAGGCCGACCAGTGCGTACACCAGCAGGATGTCACCCCACCACAGCAGCACCGAATGCAGCAGGCCGATCACCAGCAGCACCGCCATCCGCCGCAGGTGCGCGGCCATGCTGCCGGGCGCATGGCCGTCCATCTGCATCGCCACGCCCATGCCGAACAACAGCGAGAACAGGGTGATTGCCTTCATGTCCACCAGCCATTCCATGCCGGTGCGGATGGCCTGGTCGAGTGCCGCGCTGGGCAGCGCCTGCTGCGCGGCCTCGGTCATCAGCGCATCGAGCGAGAAGAAGCGCAGGTTGACCAGGAACACGCCGAGCAGCGCGAATCCACGCAGGGCATCGATGAGGGGCTGGCGCGGCGGGCGGTGGGTCATGCCCTGCAGCGTACCGGATCGGTAGTGCCGGCCGCTGGCCGGCATGCGCCTCGAGGCACGCGGCAGATGCCGGCCAGCGGCCGGCACTACCAGACAGAGGTCAATCACCCAGCAGGGCGGTGTTGCGTACGGCGCCCTTGTCGGCACTGGTGGCGAGCAGCGCGTAGGCCTTCAACGCGCTGGTGACCTTGCGCGGGCGCGGCGCGCGCGGCTTCCAGCCACGGGCATCGGCGTCGGTGCGGCGCTGGGCCAGGCTGGCGTCATCCAGCAGCAGGTCGATGCGGCGGGCCGGGATATCGATGCGGATGCGGTCGCCGTCTTCCACCAGGCCGATGACCCCGCCGCTGGCCGCTTCCGGCGAGACGTGGCCGATCGACAGGCCCGACGTGCCGCCGGAGAAGCGACCATCGGTCAGCAGTGCGCATTGCTTGCCCAGCCCCTTCGACTTCAGGTAACTGGTCGGATACAGCATTTCCTGCATGCCCGGGCCGCCCTTCGGGCCTTCGTAACGGATCACCACCACCTCGCCCGGCTGCACTTCGTCGGCGAGGATGCCGGCGACGGCAGCGTCCTGGCTTTCGTAGACGCGTGCCGGGCCTTCGAACACGTGGATCGACTCATCCACGCCGGCGGTCTTCACGACGCAGCCATCGACGGCCAGGTTGCCGCGCAGCACGGCCAGCCCGCCTTCCAGCGAATACGCGTGCTGCAGCGAGCGGATGCAGCCCTCGGCGCGGTCCACGTCCAGCGTCGGCCAGCGCGTGGCCTGGCTGAAGGCCTCCTGGGTAGGAATGCCGGCCGGGCCGGCCTTGAAGAAGGTATGCAGGGTGTCGTTGTCGCTGCGCACCACGTCCCAGCGCTCCAGCGCGTCGGCCAGGCTGGCGCTGTGCACGGTCGGCACACCGGTATCGAGCAGGCCCGCGCGGTCCAGTTCACCGAGGATGCCGAACACGCCGCCGGCGCGGTGCACGTCTTCGATGTGGTACTTCGGCGTGTTCGGTGCCACCTTGCACAGCTGCGGTACGCGCCGCGACAAGGCATCGATATGGGTCAGGTCGAAGTCGACCTCCGCTTCCTGCGCAGCGGCCAGCAGATGCAGGATGGTATTGGTCGATCCGCCCATGGCGATGTCCAGGGTCATCGCATTGGCGAACGCGGCCTGGGTGGCGATGCCGCGCGGCAGCGCGCTCGGGTCTTCGCCGCCATACCAGCGGTGGCAGAGTTCGACGATCAGGCGGCCGGCGCGGCGGAACAGGGCCTCGCGGTCGGCGTGGGTGGCCAGGGTGGTGCCGTTGCCCGGCAGCGACAGGCCCAGCGCTTCGGTCAGGCAGTTCATCGAGTTGGCGGTGAACATGCCCGAGCACGAACCACAGGTGGGGCAGGCACTGCGCTCGAAGGCAGCCACCTTCTCGTCGGAGGCGCTGTCATCGGCGGCCACCACCATCGCGTCGACCAGGTCCAGCTTGTGCTCGGACAGCTTGGTCTTGCCTGCTTCCATCGGTCCGCCGGAGACGAACACCACCGGGATGTTCAGGCGCAGTGCGGCCATCAGCATGCCGGGAGTGATCTTGTCGCAGTTGCTGATGCACACCAGCGCGTCGGCGCAGTGCGCGTTGACCATGTACTCCACGGCGTCGGCGATGATCTCGCGGCTGGGCAGCGAATACAGCATGCCGTCATGGCCCATCGCGATGCCGTCGTCCACGGCGATGGTGTTGAATTCCTTGGCGACACCGCCAACCTGCTCGATCTCGCGTGCGACCAGCTGGCCGAGGTCCTTCAGGTGCACGTGGCCGGGCACGAACTGGGTGAAGGAGTTGGCGATGGCGATGATCGGCTTGTGGAAGTCGCCGTCCTTCATGCCGGTGGCACGCCACAGGGCGCGGGCGCCGGCCATGTTGCGGCCGGCGGTGGAGGTGCGGGAGCGGTATTCAGGCATGGCTGGCGGAACGGGCGGGCCGTACAACGTGGGGGTCGCCCGATCATGGACAATTTTTTCGGTTGCTGCTGCAACCACCTTCACCGCTTGCAGCGGCTTGGTGGTCCACGCATTTCCCCTTATCCCCGCGCCTTCGGCGCGCCCCCTTGAACAACAAGGGGGCTTCTCGCCGGAGACTTGGCTGTGCGCGCTGGGCATCGCCGGGCGCCGCCGGGTGTGTGCCAACCCAGGTTGGCACCTGCCAGAGCGGTGCGCCGTCCGGAGTCGGATCCCATCGTGGCGCGATGGCCTCTGACCCCAATGCCCGACGAAAATGAAAGTCCGTTCATCTTTCGGACTTTGCCGATTCCGGTTGTTGGCCAGGATTTGGCATCATTGGGGCATTGATCCGTCGACAGGGCATGAGGCCATGAAACGTTCCCGCACCACCGCGCTGCTGCTGATGAGCGCCGCGCCGCTGCTGTTCACCGCCTGCCAGAAGGAGCCGGAGGTGAAGGTGCAGGAAGGCCTGTATACCTCGGTGGAGGCCTGCACCGAGGCCACCGGCGATCCGTCCTCGTGCCGCAACGCCTTCGCCGAAGCGCAGAAGCAGGCCGCCGATGCGGCGCCGAAGTACGCCAGCAAGGAAGCCTGCGAGAAGGACTACAAGCCGGAACAGTGCGTGCAGCAGCACACATCGGCGGGTACCTCGTTCATCGGCCCGATGATGATGGGCTTCTTCATGTCGCAGATGCTGAGCAACCGCGGCGGCCTGGCCCCGCAGGCGCCGGCGGCGTCGCCGGCCTACCAGGACAAGAGCGCTGGTTGGGCGCGCCCGGCCCCGGGCGGTAGCGGTGGCCTGAACACCGCCAGTGGCATCGGCGCGGGCAAGGCCGGCCTGGCCCCGGTCACCAGCGAACCGAACCGTGCGGTCACCGCCAGCCGTGGTGGCTTCGGCAACACCAGCGCGCGCCGCAGCACCAGCGGCAGCTACGGCGGCTGATCGACCCATGCAGCGCATCCGGATTGCCGAGCGTGCCCAGTGGCGGGCACGCGCGGAAGAGGCGGGTTTCCGCTTCCACACCATCGATGGCCAGCCGTACTGGGATGAAAGCGCGTACTACGCCTTCACCCTGCGCCAGATCGAACAGGACATCGAAGACCCCAGCGCCGAGCTGCACCAGATGGCGCTGGACCTGGTCGGCGATGTCATCGCCAGCGAGCGATTGATGGACCAGCTGGCGATTCCGTCGCACTACCGCGACTGGATCGCCGACAGCTGGCGCCAGCGCCAGCCGCATCTGTACGGGCGCCTGGACCTGGCCTACGACGGCACCGGTCCGGCCAAGCTGTACGAACTGAACTACGACACGCCGACCTCGCTGTTCGAGGCCAGCTTCTTCCAGTGGCAGTGGCTGGAAGACCAGCGCAACGCCGGTCGCCTGCCGCAGCACGCCGACCAGTTCAACGCGATCCATGAGGCGCTGGTCGAACGCTTCGGCGAACTGGCCGCGCAGCTGCCACCGCCGCTGTACTTCAGCGCCGTGGGCAGTTCCGATGAAGACCGCGGCACCGTCGATTATCTGCGTGACTGCGCCTCGCAGGCCGGCCTGCATGGCCAGGCCATCGCCATCGAGGACATCGGCCTGTCCGAAGACGGCCGTTTCACCGCGCTGGATGATTCGGTGATCGGCACGCTGTTCAAGCTGTACCCGCTGGAAGACCTGATGGCCGAGGAATTCGGCCGCGCGCTGCCCGGCTCGGGCGTACAGCTGCTGGAGCCGGCGTGGAAGGCGGTGCTGAGCAACAAGGGCATCCTGCCGTTGCTGTGGCAGCGCAATGTCGGTCATCCGAACCTGCTGGAAGCGCACTTCGACGATGGCAGCACGCTGGCCTCGGGCTGGGTGCGCAAGCCGCTGTTCTCGCGCGAAGGCGCCAACATCGAGATGCACCTGGCCGACGGCAGCACGCAGCGCAGTGACGGTCCCTACGACGGCCCGGCGATCATCCAGCGCGCGCATCCGCTCACCCGTTTCGAAGGCGGTTACCCGCTGATCGGCAGTTGGGTGGTCGGCGATCACGCCTGCGGCATCGGCATCCGCGAGGACGACAGCGCGATCACCCGCGACAGTGCGCGCTTCGTGCCGCACGCAATCGTGGACGAGGCGCCGACGCGGATCTACGTCTGATGGGGGTGCGGCCCACAGGGCCGTCGTGCCAACCAAGGTTGGCACCCACCAGGGCGATGTGCCGGTAGTGCCGGCCGCTGGCCGGCAACCGCTGCGGGTAGAGGCCGACCTTGGTCGGCGCTGTGGCATTGGTGCCAACCAAGGTTGGCACCCACCAAAGCGATGTGCCGGTAGTGCCGGCCGCTGGCCGGCAGCCGCTGTGGGCATCAGAGCAACCCTTCGCGCTTCACCGCCAGGTAGCGCTCCACCAGCGCAGCGGGCAGCGCGTCGGCGGTCACGTCCAGCACCATCACCTTCTCGCTGCGCAGCGCTTCGTGTGCCTTCGCGCGCTGCTGCAGGTACAACGCAGCGGCGCCGGCCTGGGCGGCGTCCTCCAGCGTCTGCACCTCGTCCTCCAGCGCAGCGTCCAGCTCGCGCTCGCGCAGGCTGGCCACGCACACCAGGTGGCGTTGCTGCAGCAGGCGAACGGCTGCCAGCAGGTCCTCGATGTCCTCGTCGCGCACGTTGCTGACCAGCATCACCAGGGCGCGCCGGCGCTGGCGCAGTGATACCTCGGTGGCGGCAGCCAGGTAGTCGGTGGCCACCGCGCGCGGCTGCAGGTCGTAGCTGGCGCGCAGCAGGTGCTCGACCGTGCCCATCCCGCGCTGCGGCGCCACCCAGCGGCGCTCGCCACCAGCGGCGAACAGGCCGGCGGCATCGCCCTGGCGCAGGGCCAGGTAGGCCACCACCAGCGAGGCGTTCAATGCATGGTCGAAGTGCGAGAGCCCGCCTTCGCTGGCCAGCATGCGCCGGCCACTGTCGAGCATCAGCAACAGCTGTTGGTTCTTTTCGTCCTGGTATTCGCGCGAGATCAACTTGCGCGCACGCGCGGTAGCCTTCCAGTCGAGCTGGCGCAGGCTGTCACCGACGCGGTACTCGCGCATCTGGTGGAAATCGGTGCCTTCACCGCGGCGGCGTTTGACGTGCGCACCGACCAGCCGCGAGGCCTGGTCGGCACTGAACAACGCAAACCGGGTGAGCGGCACGAAGTTCGGATAGACGCGCACGTCCAATGCCGGTGGCACGGTGCGCTGCTGCCACCACAGCCGCCACGGCGAGCGCATGCGCAGGTGCACGCCTTCGAAGCGGAAGAGCCCGCGCTGCAGCGGTTGCAGGTGGTAGTGCAGGGTGGAGGCGCTGCCGGCCTGCAGCTGCACACGCTGTGGCAGCGATTCCAGCGGCCAGCCACCGGGCACCAGGTCGAACACCTGCACCGTCATCGATGCGTCCGCCTGCAACCGCAGTGCGGCGTCGCGACGTACGCCCAGCGCCAGCGCCTCGGGCAGCTCGCGCTGCACCTGCGGCGAAGGTCGTCGCGCCTGCCGCCACAGGTCCCACAGCGCCGGCAGGGCGATGGCCAGTGCGGCCAGCGCCCAGCCCCCGCGCGGCAGCAGGCCGCCCAGCACCAGGCCGCCCAGCACGGCCCAGGCCAGCAGCAGCACCAGCAGCAGCGGGGACGGCCTCATCGGCGCGGTGCTTCCACCTTGGCCAGCAGTGCACCCAGCACATCGTCGGCGTCCTGGCCTTCGATCTGCAGTTCCGGGGCCAGCGCGATGCGGTGTCGCAGCGCCGGGCGAGCAATGTCGCGCACATCATCCGGAGTGACGAAATCACGACCGGCCAGCACCGCCTGCGCGCGAGACGCACGTACCAGTGCGATGCTGCCGCGCGGCCCGGCACCGACGGCGATCCCCGGCCACTGCCGGGTGGCCGCCACGATCCGCACCGCATAATCGATCACTTCATCATCGACGGTGATCGCGGCAGTGGCGCGCTGCAGTTCCAGCAACTCGCCGGCACCAAGTACGCGCGGCACCTGGCTCAGGTCGAAATCGCTGGCGGCGCGGCCGCTGGTGATCGCAGTCACCATGCGCTTCTCGTCTTCCAGCTGCGGGTAGTCGATCAGCACCTTCAACAGGAAACGGTCCAGCTGTGCTTCCGGCAGCGGATAGGTCCCTTCCTGCTCCAGCGGGTTCTGCGTGGCCAACGCCATGAACGGCGGCGCCAGGGTGAACGCCTTGCCTTCGATGGTTACCTGGCCTTCCTGCATCACTTCCAGCAGCGCCGACTGGGTCTTGGCCGGTGCGCGGTTGATCTCATCGGCCAGCAGCAGGTTGGTGAACACCGGGCCGCGGCGGATCTTGAAGCTCTCGCTCTTCGGGTCGTACACCGCGTGGCCGCTGACGTCGCTGGGCATCAGGTCGGGGGTGAACTGCACGCGGCCGTAATCCAGTTCCAGGGCCTGTGCCAGCGCACGCACCAGCAGGGTCTTGCCCAGCCCGGGGACGCCCTCGATCAGCACATGGCCACCGGCAAGCAGCGCCACCAGGATCTGGTCCAGCACATCGGCCTGGCCGATGAAGGCATGGCCAACGGCATCGCGGATGGCATCGACGCGTTCGATCAGGCGGGCGTTGGCGGCCGCCGGCAGCTCGGGCACTTCGGTCATAGCAGGGATCTCATCTGGAGCAGCAAGCGGATGCGCTCGCGCAGGGCGGAGGAATCGTGCGGCGGTGGGGGTGTGAGCGCGCTGGCGACGCGGCCCTGCGGCCACTTCAGCAGCTCGGCGATGGCCTGCTCGCGCGGTGCGCCATCGAGTGCGGCGGCGACCGGCGCGCGCAGGCGCAGGCGGTGCAGGAACAGGGCGAGCACGGCGTCGTACAGGCGCGCGCCGTGGCCGAAGCGCAGCAGCAGTTCGCCGCTTGCACGCACGTGCTCCAGCAACGAGCGGCGTTCCAGCAGCGGCGACGGCTGCAGGCTGCCGAAGCGCTGCGAGCGGCCCCACAGCCAACCCAGCAGGGCCAGCAGCAGCGGCACCCACAGCGGCCAGCCGTGGTAGAACAGGCGCGCCCACAGCGACGGCGGGCGTCCGGCGTAGACCAGCCAGACCGCACCCCTGCCGTAGTTCGGATCGAGCAGATAGCGGGTCAGGTCGCGGTGGGCCGGATCGTGCAGGCCATCGCTGGGCCTGCCCGCAGCGGCGCCCAGCCGTGCGGCGGGTGTGTCGACCTCGCCACGCATGAACTCCATGTCGGCCAGTACGCTCACCTTGCCCTGGCCATGGCGCAGGCGCGCGAACACCAGGTCGCGGTCACCGCCCCAGCGGCGTTCGGCCTGTGTGCGCGCGGCAAACCCGAGCGTGAAGCGGCGGCCTCCACAGAACTCGCTGTGACCGCTGTCGTCGTCGATATGGAACGGCTGGCAGTCGCTGCGCTGGAACAGGCTGTCCACCCCCAACTGGTCCAGCAAGGGTCCCTGCGTGCTGCCGGTATCGTCCTCCGCCGGGGGCGGTGTGCGCACCAGCAGGTGCCCGCCGCGGTCGACCCAGTCCAGCAGCGGTTTCACGCTCGGTGCCGGCAGTTCGCTGCTGTCCTGCAGCAGCACCACCGTGTCGTGCGGCCCCAGCGTCATCTGCTGCAGGTCCAGCCGTGGTCGTGAATGCACCTCGATGCCGTCGGCGCGCAGGGCCTGGCCCAGCACGTACAGCGGGTTGTAGCTGGCCTCGCCCTGCGGCGGCAGGGTGAGCGTCTCGGTCACCCGTTCGTGCGTGCGCAGGTAGAGGATCGTCAGTGGCACGCCGATCAGCACCAGCAGGCCCAGCAGCAACGACCAGAACAGGCGCGGGCTCATGCCTGCCATCCGTACTGCTGGCGCAGCGTGTCGGCCAGCGCGTCGAAGTCGCTGCGGCTGGGCAGGCGCCCACCATAGGCGGCGTACTGCCACATGCGCACGATGCGCGCGAACAGGTCACGGTCGGCCGCCTCCGGCATGCGCCGCGAGGCACGCAGGCACTGCGCCTCGGTGGCGCCGGGAGGCAGTGCGATGCCGCTGCGCTCGCCCACGGTGCGCACGCTGGCGCGGTAGAGCAGGGCCAGCGCCTGCCGTGGCCGGCCCTGGTCCCACAGCAGGCCGGCCTGGGTGGCCACGTCCGGTGGCAGCACCGCGGGCAGTTCCACCGCCTCTTCAATCACCGGGGCCGCAGCGCCGGCCTTGCGCCGGCCGCTGCCACGCAACCAGGGCAGCCACACCCGCGCGGTCAGCAGCAGCACCAGCAGCAGGATGCCCAGGAGGCCCCACAGGCCCCACTCGGCCAGCCGCGCCAGCCAGGCAATGCCGTCCTTGCGTGCCTTGCGCTCGGCCTTGTTGCCGCTGTCGCCTTGCAGCTGCTTGTCTTCCTTCTTCGCCTCCTGGGCCTGCTCGATCGGCTTCCAGTGCGTGACCTGGCGGGTCGGGTGCTGCAGCGGGTCTTCATAGGCGCGGTTCACCGCCTGACGGAATCCGGCGGTGTCCACTGGCGTGCTGCCGAAGATGGTGGCCGGGGTGTTGGCGGGGTCGTTTGCGGCGGTGGCCGGTTCCTCCGCGCTGTCTTCGTCCTCGCCGGCAGTGTCGGCGTCGTCGGTGATCGACGGCGCGTCCTGCGCGTGCACCGGTGCGCAGGCCAGTGGCAGGGCCAGGCACAGCAGCAGGGCCAGTGTCGACGCCGCCGGCAGCAGTCGATCACGCAGGCGGCGCAGGGCGATTTCCACATCCCAGGCTTCCATCTGCGTGCGCCGGTTCAAGTACAGGCCAAAGCCGGCACCGACGAAGAACGGCCCGACCAGCACCGAGGCCAGCCAGCACGCCAGGTTGAAGCCAAGCCGGGCCCACGCCGGCGTGTCCCGGCCGATCATGTCCCAGGCCGCACGCCACGATTCGGACATCAGGTCCAGTGGCATGAACATGAACACCGCACCGATCGCGCCGGACACCAGCACCGCTTCGAATGCCAGGCAGGTCACCGTCAGCACCGTCGCTGCACCTGCGGCGCCGGCCGCGACCGCGCGACGGCGCGGGCCGCGCTGGCCCGGTGCGTTGCCTTCCAGCAGGTTCACCGGCAGGCACAGGCTGCGCAGCACGCTGAAGCGGCGCCAGCCCAGGTAGCCCCAGAAGCCGGTACCGCCCCAGTGGCGCTGCGCGCGCAGCGCCGCCAGCGTGCCCACCGGCTCACCAAAGATGCCGCGTGACAGCACGTACAACGGCGCGCGTTCGAACAGCGGCTTGCACCACCACATCGCCAGCCAGGCCCAGCCGAACGCATCCAGCCACCAGCCCAGCGCGTTGAAGACCACGAACAGCGGCGCGCTGGCCAGCAGCCAGCTGCCCCACACCGCACGCGCGTGACGGCGGGCGAGGGCGCTGCCCAGCTCCATGGCTTCCCAGCTGCTGCGTGCGCGCAGCACCACGTCCAGGTGGTCAATGCGCATCGCCGGCTCCGCGTCCGCCACGCCACAGCCACAGCAGTACGCCAGCCCACAGCACGCCGGCCACGCTGAACTTGCCCCATGCCGGCACTTCGGCGATCGATGACCAGAACGCTTCGATGAAGGCGGCGACCAGCAGCATGAAGGCTACGCCGAGGCACAGCCGTGCACCGATGCGGCCGCCGTCGACCAGCGCATCCAGCCGGCTGCGCCGGCCCGGTGCCAGCAGCTTCATGCCCAGCTGCAGTCCGGCGCCACCGGCAATAACGATGGCGGTCAGCTCGAACGCGCCATGCCCGGCCACGAAGCGCCAGAACGGGCCGCCGTAGCCGATGTGCTGCAGGTGGCCCGCCACCGCACCGATGGTGACGCCATTGAAGGACAGCACCAGCAGCGTGCCCAGCCCGGCCAGCAGGCCACTGGCGAAGGTGCGCAGGGCGATGCTGATGTTGTTCATGACGTAGTGGCCGAACATCATCCAGTCGGTACCGCTGTCGCGGCCCAGGCGCTCGGCGGCGGGGTCGTACATGCGCTCCATCGCGGCGATCTGGCGGTTGTCCATCAGCATGTGGATCAGGTCCGGATAGACCTGGGCCAGCACGAAGCAGGCCAGTGCCGGCAGCGCGAACATCGCCAGCGCCACCCACATGCTGCGCGCCTGGCTGCGGACCAGCAGCGGGAAGTCGGCCACCAGGAACTCCAGCGCGGCGCGCCAGCGCGTTGGCCGCGTGCGGTACAGCACGCTGTGGCCCTGCTGCATCAGCTGCTGCAGGCGCTGCACCAGCTGTGGGCTGTAGCCGCGCTCGCGGGCCAGCGCCAGCTGCTGGCACAGGCGCCGGTAGCGCTGCGGGAAGGCGGTGTCGTCCAGTGCCAGGCCGCTGGCCTTGCGGCGGGCGCGGCGCGAGGCACCGGCACGCAGCAGCAGCCACTGCTCCAGGTCCTGCCATTCCTGCTGGTAGCGGGCGACGAACTGTTCCTGCTTCATCGCCGCCCCAGCAGCCAATTGGCCATGGCATACAGGCGCAGCACGCCGATCTGGCCCTGCGCACCGGTCAGCGGCTCGGCGATTCCGGCCAGTTCCTGCTGGCGCGCCGCCGACAGCCGCGGCGCGCGTTCGGCGAAGGCCATCAACGCCGCCTGTTCATCCGGGCGCAGCGGCTGCGGCGGGGCCAGCACGCTGTCGATGGTCGGCGGCGGCGGCAGGTACAGCGCGGGCGCATGCACCACCACCGTGCCGGCGACCAGGTCGCCGAGGCGGCGGCCATGGGGGTCGAACAGGCTGCTGACCAGGCCCAGTGCATAGCCGAACGGCAGCATGTCCACGGTACGCAGCAGGTTGCGGGTGATCGATGCCATCCAGCCGACCGGCGCGCCATCGCGCGACAGCACGCGCAGCCCCAGCGCGCGCTTGCCGAGGGTGCGGCCCCACAGCGCCTCGCAGACGATCGGGTAGGCCCAGTAGACCAGGAACATCAGCATCAGGTAGAGGCCGGAACCGAACGTGTCCAGCAGCGCCAGCGGAATCGACATCAGCACCAGCACGGCGACGCGCACGCCAAGATCGACCAGCCAGGCCATCGCCCGCGGCAGCGGGCCGGCCGCCGGCAACTGCAGCAGCACGCCCTCCGGCGTCACCACCTCGCGGTAGGTGTCGAGCATCGGTGCGGCCATCAACGCGATGGCCTTCGATGTGGGCGCCGGAGTCCTCTCCGGCAGGCAGCCACAGGCATGGGGGTCTCGACAGATCCTGGTCGGGCCCAGACTTTAGCAGAGCCGCATGGCGGCGTTGGCCGCTCAGCCCAGGTATTCGTCCTTCAGCCGCACGTAATGGTAGGCCGAGTAATGCAGCGATTCGATCTCCTTGTCGCTCAGCGTGCGCGCCGGCCGCGCCGGGTTGCCGACCCACAGTTCGCCCTCGCCGACCACCTTGCCCGGGCCGATCACGGCACCGGCACCGACGAAGCCGTGGCGCTCCACGCGGGCTCCGTCGAGGATGCAGGCGCCCATGCCGATCAGGCTGTAATCACCGATCGTGCAGGCATGGATGATGCAGCCATGGCCGACGGTGACGCCCTCGCCGATCAGCGTCGGGTAGCCGGCCTTGTTGTAGGGGCTGTGGTGGCTGACGTGGATGATGGTGCCGTCCTGCACGTTGGTGCGCGCACCGATGCGCACGTAGTTGACGTCGCCACGGATGACCGTGCCCGGCCAGATCGACACGTCGTCGGCCAGCTCCACGTCACCGATGACGGTGCAGGCCGGATCGATGTACACGCGCTCGCCGAGGACGGGCATCTTGTCGCGGAAGGGGCGCAGCGGGTTCATCGGTGTCTCCGAAAATCAGGGCATTCGCGACGATGATACGCGCGTGGTCCGCACGCCGCGTGCCTGCCACGGGGTAGTGCCGGCCGCTGGCCGGCAACCTCATGGGCGCACCTGGATTTCCGTGGTTGCCGGCCAGCGGCCGGCACTACCCGTTTGCTAGGGTTCGTAGCTGTAACCCATCCCGTACACCGATCGGATCGGCTCGCCTTCCATGCCGGCATCGGCCAGCTTGCGGCGCAGGTTGCGCACATGGCTGTCGACGGTGCGGTCGACCACCACGCGGTGGTCCAGATAGAGGCGGTCAAGCAGTTCATCGCGTGCCCAGATCCGGCCGGGCGTGGCCAGCAGGGTGCGCAGCAGGCGGTACTCCACCGGGGTCAGGTCCAGGCCCTTGCCGTTCCAGGTGGCACGCGCGGCCGGTTCGTCGATGTGCAGGCCGCTGTTGGTGCGCGCGGCCGGGTCCGGCCTGTAGCGGCGCAGCACCGCCACCACTCGCGCCACCACTTCGCGCGGACTGAACGGCTTGCAGATGTAGTCGTCGGCGCCGATCTCCAGTCCCAGCAGGCGGTCGATCTCCTCCACCCGCGCGGTGACCATGATCACCGGCACGTCGCTGCTGGCGCGCAGCTCGCTGCACAGGTCCACGCCATCGCGCTGCGGCAGCATCAGGTCCAGCAGCACCAGATCGGGCTGGTAGCGCGCGAAGGCCTCGATCACCTTGCCGCCATCATCCACCCATTCGCTGACCATGCCCGCCGCGGCCAGGTAGTCGCGCAGCACGGCGGCCAGGCGCGGTTCGTCCTCAACGATGAGAATCTTCGCCGGTGCGGCGGGCGATGTGCTGGCGGGGGAGGTGCTCATGCAGGCTCCGGCAGGGTGATGACCACGCGCAGCCCACCCAGCGGCGAGGGCTCGGCGTGGATCTGGCCGTGGTGGGCAAGAACGATGTTGTGGCTGATCGCCAGGCCCAGTCCGCTGCCACCGCTGGCACGATTGCGCGAGCTTTCCACCCGGTAGAAACGCTCGAACAGCAGCGCACATTTTTCCGCCGGTACGCCCGGTGCGGTGTCTTCCACGATCAGCTGTACGCCGGCAGGCACCCGTGCGGCCTGCACGAGTACGCGGCCGCCGGCATGGGTGTAGCGCAGCGCGTTCTCCAGCAGATTGGCCAGCACCTGCTGCAGGCGTCGCTCATCGCCGGACACCTGCAGCGGTGTGGCGGGCAACGTTTCTTCCAGTGCCAGCCCCGCTGCGGAGAAGCGCACGCGCATGCCATTGAGCTCGCTGCGCAGCAGCGCCACCAGGTCCAGCGGGGCGAAACGATAGGCCAGGCCGCCGGACTGGGTCATCGACAGGTCGTGCAGGTCGTCGATCAGCTTGCCCAGCTGGCGGATCTCGCCCTGCAGGGCACCAAGATTGGCGCGGTCCAGCGGGCGGATGCCGTCCTCGATCGCCTCCAGCTCGGCACGCACCACCGCCAGCGGCGTACGCAGCTCGTGCGAGATGTCGGCGATGAAGGCACGGCGGTTGCGCTCGGTGTCGTCCAACGCCTGCGCCATCCGGTTGAAGTCGTTGACCAGTGCATCCAGCTCGTCGTCGCTGGTGCGCTCAATGCGGGTGGCATAGTCGCCGGCGGCGAGCCGGTGGGTGGCCGCCGCGAGCTTGGCCAGACGCTGGCGCAGCGCGCGTGACACCAGCCAGGCCAGCAGCACCGTCACCAGCAGCAGCGAGATGCCGATCACCCACCAGGCGCGCATCTGGGTGTTGTAGAAGTTCAGGTCGTTGGTGGCGATGACGGTCTGGAACGGCACCATGCCCAGCCAGCCCACCGTGTGCCCGTCCACCTGCACCGCGTGCGGCTCGTCATCGCTGGTCGCGTCGGGATTGCCTGCCACGTAGCGGTGCCGTGCATCGAACAGGCCCAGCCGCGACGGAACGCCAGTCTGGTCGGACAGTGGTGGCACCGGCCCTTCATGCCCATGCGCCAGGTCCGGGCGCAGCATCCGCGCCCAGCGATCGCTGTCACCGCGCAGGTGGTCCCAGCCGCCGTGCTCGCGGAATTCGCGCTGCAGGTGCGGCATCAGGCGCTGCATGCGCAGGTCGCCCTGATCGTTGAGGTAGTCCAGGAAGCCGGTCTGGAATGCCACGCGGCTGGCAATGCCGTTCACCGCCAGCACCAGCAGGCAGGCAGTGAAGATCGCGAGGAAGGTCTTCGCGGTCAGGCCGAATTTGAGTCGAATCTTCGCCATCGCGGGGGCCATTAGCGGCGCATGCGGCGCCGAAAGCAAGCGCCAGCTGAGCCGGTCGCACAATCTCCATATTCTCTGCACAGTTCCACGGCAGCGTGCCCGGGTCAACGCAAGGCCCCCACGCCCCCCATGTCACTCCCGCGCCCGCTGTCCCGTTCTTCCCATCCCCTGCTGCTGCCGCTGCTGCTGGCCCTGGCAGCCTGTTCCGCCGGCAGGACCGAAGCGCCGGCCGCGCCTGAAGTGGGCATCATCACCGCCAGCGCGCAGCCGCTGGCGCTGCAGCAGACCCTGCCCGGCCGCGCAGTGCCGTTCGAAGTGTCCGAGGTGCGGCCGCAGATCGGTGGACTGATCCGCCAGCGGCTGTTCACCGAAGGCCAGCAGGTCAAGGCCGGCCAGCTGCTGTACCAGGTCGACCCGGCGCCGTACCAGGCGGCCTTCGACACCGCGCGGGGCCAGCTGGCCCAGGCCGAGGCCAGCGTGCTGTCGGCGCAACCGAAGGCCGAGCGCACCCGCGCGCTGGTGAGCATGGACGCGGCCAGCAAGCAGGATGCCGATGATGCGACCTCGGCATTGAAGCAGGCGCAGGCCAATGTGATCGCTGCGCGCGCTGCGCTGCAGGCCGCCCGCATCAACCTTGACTACACGCGGGTGACCGCACCGATCGACGGCCGTATCGGCACCTCCAGCGTCACTGCCGGCGCGTTGGTCGCCGCGGGCCAGGACGCCGCGCTGACCACCATCCAGCGGCTGGACCCGGTGTACCTGGATGTCACCCAGTCCAGCACGCAGATGCTGGCGCTGCGCAAGCAGCTCGATGCCGGCCTGGTGAAGGCCATTGATGGCAGGGCACAGGTGCAGGTCGTGCTGGAGGACGGCAGCACCTATGCCCATGAAGGCACGCTGGAATTCGTCGGCAGTGCGGTCGATCCGGGTACCGGCAACGTGGTGCTGCGCGCGGTCATTCCGAACCCGGACGGCCTGCTGCTGCCGGGCATGTACCTGAAGGCGGTGCTGCCGATGGCCACCGATGCGCGCGCGCTGCTGGTGCCGCAGAAGGCGGTGGTGCGCAATGAGCGCGGCGAGCCGCTGCTGCGCCTGCTCGACGCCAAGGACCACGTCATCGAGCGCCGGGTCAGCATCGGCCAGGTGGTGGGCAACCAGTGGCAGATCACGCAGGGCCTGAAGGCCGGCGAGCGGGTGATCGTCAGCAACGGCAGCGCGGTATCGCTGGGCCAGCAGGTGAAGGCGGTGGCGGCCACCACCGCGCAGCTGGCAGCAATGCCGGCGATCGACCCGAACGGCAACACCGACGAAAAGTCGCACTGAGGTTGCCGCGCATGGTTCGTTTCTTCATCGACCGGCCGATCTTCGCCTGGGTGATCGCCATCGCGGTCAGCCTGCTCGGCCTGCTTGCGATCCTGATCCTGCCGGTGGACCGCTACCCGCAGATCGCCCCGCCCACCATCACCATCCGCGCCACCTACACCGGCGCTTCGTCGCAGACCGTGGAAAACGCGGTCACCCAGGTCATCGAGCAGTCCCAGCAGAGCCTGGACCACCTGATGTACATGACCTCCACCAGTGCTTCCGATGGCTCGGCCCAGGTCAACCTGGTGTTCGCCACTGGCACCAATCCGGATACGGCGCAGGTGCAGGTGCAGAACCAGCTGCAGGCCGCGATGGCCACGCTGCCGCAAGCGGTGCAGCAGAACGGCCTGACCATCACCAAGTCCAGTGGTTCGATCTTCGAGGTGCTGTCGTTCACCAGCGAAGACGGCAGCATGGACAACTTCGATGTCGCCAACTTCATGGAAGCGCGCATCGATGACCAGATCAGCCGCGTCAGTGGTGTTGGCAACATCCAGCCGATCGGCCAGGAATACGCCATGCGTATCTGGCTGGACCCGGAAAAGATGCGCCAGTACGCACTGATGCCGTCGGATGTCGAGACCGCACTGCAGGCGCAGAACACCGACGTGTCGGCCGGTGAGCTGGGGGGCCAGCCGGCACTGAAGGGCCAGCAGCTGGACGCGACCGTGACCGCGCGCAGCCGCCTGCACACCCCCGAGCAGTTCGCGCAGGTGGTGCTCAAGGCCGATGCCAACGGCAGCGTCGTGCACCTGGGCGACGTGGCAACGATCGGCCTGGGGCCGGAGAGCTACGACAGCATCAGTACCTTCAACGGCAAGCCGTCAGCCTCGCTGGGCATCGAGCTCAATGCCGGTGCCAATGCCATCGCCGTCTCCAAGGCCATCGATGCACGGCTTCAGCAGCTGCAGAAGTACTGGCCGCATGGCTACACCGCCCACGTGGCCTTCACCACCACCCCGTTCGTGACCATCTCGCTGAAGGAAGTGGTGATCACCCTGATCGAGGCGATCATCCTGGTGGTGCTGGTGATGTACCTGTTCCTGCAGAACTGGCGGGCCACGCTGATCCCGACCATCGCGGTGCCGGTGGTGCTGCTGGGTACGTTCGGCGTGCTGGCCGCGTTCGGCTATTCCATCAACACCCTGACCATGTTCGCGCTGGTGCTGGCCATCGGCCTGCTGGTGGACGATGCCATCGTGGTGGTGGAGAACGTGGAGCGGGTGATGACAGTACTCTGCGTTGATACCACTGCTT